GACACAGAGACCCTGGACACAGACAGCAGGCCAGACAGAGCGGGGCACAGAGACCCTGGACACAGACAGCAGGCCAGACAGAGCGGGGCACAGAGACCCTGGACACAGACAGCAGGCCAGACAGAGCAGGGCACAGAGACCCTGGACGCCGACAGCAGGCCAGACAGAGCAGACACAGTGACCCTGCATGCCGACAGCAGGCCAGACAGAGCAGACAGTGACCCTGGACACAGACAGCAGGCCAGACAGAGCAGGACACAGAGACCCTGGACACAGACAGAGCAGGGCACAGCAACCCTGGACACAGACAGCAGGCCAGACAGAGCAGGGCACAGAGACCCTGGACGCCGACAGCAGGCCAGACAGAGCAGGACACAGAGACCCTGGACACAGAGCAGGGCACAGCGACCCTGGACACAGACAGCAGGCCAGACAGAGCAGACACAGTGACCCTGGACACAGACAGCAGGCCAGACAGAGCAGGACACAGAGACCCTGGACACAGACAGAGCAGGGCACAGCAACCCTGGACACAGACAGCAGGCCAGACAGAGCAGGACACAGAGACCCTGGACACAGACAGCAGCCCAGACAGAGCAGGACACAGAGACCCTGGACACAGAGCAGGGCACAGCGACCCTGGACACAGACAGCAGGCCAGACAGAGCAGACACAGTGACCCTGGACACAGATAGCAGGCCAGACAGAGCAGGGCACAGAGACCCTGGACGCCGACAGCAGGCCAGACAGAGCGGACACAGTGACCCTGCATGCCGACAGCAGGCCAGACAGAGCAGACAGTGACCCTGGACACAGACAGCAGGCCAGACAGAGCAGGACACAGAGACCCTGGACACAGACAGCAGGCCAGACAGAGCAGGGCACAGAGACCCTGGACACAGACGGCAGGCCAGACAGAGCAGGGCACAGAGACCCTGGACACAGACAGCAGGCCAGACAGAGCAGGACACAGAGACCCTGGACACAGACAGAGCAGGGCACAGAGACCCTGGACACAGACAGCAGGCCAGACAGAGCAGGGCACAGAGACCCTGGACGCCGACAGCAGGCCAGACAGAGCAGGACACAGAGACCCTGGACACAGAGCAGGGCACAGCGACCCTGGACACAGACAGCAGGCCAGACAGAGCGGACACAGAGACCCTGGACGCCGACAGAGCAGGACACAGTGACCTGGACACAGACGGCAGGCCAGACAGAGCAGACACAGCGACCCCTGATGCCAGTGGCTCGTGCAGCTGCTGCACGTCTGTTGCATGTTTGTGCCACAGCGCCGCTCTGCAGGAGCACCTGTGTCAGCCCTCGGCTGTCCAGAGACCGAGCTGCACCTGCGTCGCCGCTGTCAGTGACCAGGAAGCGAGGTCATTGCCGCCGGCTGCACCAGGGCAGGGGCCTCGGGACGCTCCTGGTGCCAGGCTTGCAGAGCGCTGGGTGGGGAGAGCTTGGAGGTGGAAAAGGTGGCTGAACAGGATCTCTGCTCAGGCAAGAGAAGATCGCGTGGGACGTGTCTGTGGGCGCTAAGAGGAAGCTCACCTCCGTCAGAGGTGAGCCAGCGAGGCAGGCAGGCGGCGCCATCCCATCCAGACTCGTGCAGGTGGACACTTCCCGTCCCAAGGAGCTGCCAGCCCGCCCGTCAGGATAGTGACTGCGAGAATTCCACACGTCCCCCATGGAACTCCCACGCCCCAAATCCGCGCCTGCTGCCCGGCCTGGGTCATCAACAGGGCTCAGCCCACACCCCCTACCTTGTGCCCCGCAAGTCTGGGGCCAGTGGGCCGAAGCTGCCTGGGAAATGTGTCGGAGTTGAGAGCCTAAACCGAGCACAGCCGCGGCGTATGTGCGTGTGCGCGCTGAATGCACAGAGCAGTCTGACTGAGTCATACAGTAACGGCCGTGTCTTCGTGGCCCCTCTGTTTATGCGTGTGCCTAAACCGCTTTAAAGTCAACCTTACAGGGAAGCCGATTTTACTTTTAGTGCTACACAGAGGATCAAGTGTTGAAGGGTGAGTTGTGTGTGCGGCGTTAACGCGCATACTCTTCCCACTCATGACCGTGTTCGCTGGCAGCTGTGCCGTCCGGTCCTCCGTTCCTTGGCGATGAGGCTGGAAGTGAATTTCATTCAGTTCAGTGTCACGATGCCCAGGGTGCCGTCGTGAGCTGAGCGTGGCCTCCCAGGGAGCAGTCCTGACAGGCCCTCCCTGCACGCCCACGTGGGTGCGGCGCCATCGCCCGACGCAGGCACCGTGAGCTGCATTGAGTGAGCACAGTGGTTAGTGCATGCCTGGGACACCTGCCCCCCCCCCCCGTAGCGGAGTGTGTGGGCTTGAGCCCCAGTTCCATCCCCGATTCCAGCTTCCTCCTGCTGCACGCCCTGGGAGGCAGCTCTGATGGCTCGAGGAGTTCAGTCCCTGCCACTCAGTGGAGACCCGGATGGAGTTCCCGGGTCCGGACGTCGGCCTGACCCAGCCTCAGCGGCTGCAGGCCTCTGGGAAGCGCACAGTGGATGGAAGAGCTCTCTCTCTCTCGCTCTCTCTCTCTGGCTCTCTCTCTCTCTGGCTCGCTCTCTCGCTCGCTCTCTCTCTCTCTCTGGCTCTGTCTGCCTTGCAAACAAAATGAAAATAAATAAATCAGTAGAAGAATGCACTGTCAAATAGGGGGACAGGATGAGGACTTAGGAGCTATAATGCTGAGGCTCAGTGAGTTAGGCCGCAGTTTCGATGTTGGCGTCCCACATGGGCGTGGGTTCAAGTCCCGGCTGCTCCTCTTCTGATCCAGCTCCCTGCTAATGTACCCAGGAAAGAGCAGAGCATGGCTCACGTGCCTGGGCTCCTGCAGCACACACAGGAGACGGGGATGACCCCTGGCTTCATTATAGCTATTAGCTATAGCTACCCCTAACCCTAACCCCTAACCCTAACCCAGCGGATGGAAGATTACCTACCTACCTACCTACCTACCTATCTCTCCCTGTCTCTAACTTTGCCTTTCACATAAATCTGTTAAAATATTACCAAAAGAAGACTTTGCAGGAGAGGGAGGTTTCCCAGAGGGGTGCCCTGGACGTGGGGTGCTCTGTCAGGGCCCCCTGTTGGAATGGGGAGGCCTCGGGGCTTCACCTGGGGCTGTCTCCACCAGACTTGCACTGTTGCGTCCCCGGGAGGCCTGAGGCAGGTTATGGTCCTGGTGCAGCTCCCGGAGAGAGGCGCAGCCTGGACTCAGCCTGGACTCGGGGAAGCGGCAGCCCTTCTCCTGGGTTCAGTGTCCCCTCTACGGGGTCTGCCCGCCTGCCCCGGGGAGCTCAGCCCTGCAGCAGCCGTGGACACCCCAGAAAGAGGAAGGCCTCCTGGTTCTCTGTGCTTGGTACTTTTTTTTTTAAAGATTTGTTTATTTATTTGAAAAGCAGAATTACAGAGAGAGGGAGAAAGAGTTAGATCTTCCATGTGCTGATTCACTCCCCAAGTGGCCACAATGGCCAGGGCTAGTCTAGGAGAAGCCCGGACCTAGAATTCCATCCAGGTCTCCCTTGTGGGTGCAGAGACCCAAGCACTAGGCTCATCCTCCACTGCTTTGCCAGGTGCATTAGCAGGGAGCTGGGTCAGAAGTGGAGCAGCCGGGACTCGAACCGGTGTGCGGGTGCTGCAGGCAGCAGCTTAACACGCTGCGCCACGGGCCAGCCCCACCTTGCTGGTTTTGGGGGTTACAAGTGTTAAAGGTCATTCTAATAACAGAGACGGAGAAGGGCCTTCAGGGTTTCCGCAGAAGTCCATAACAACCCGGGTGGGGGCTGAGCAGAGGGCCCAGGGGGTCCCCAGGGGCACGGAGCCCTGGAGCTGGTGGAGTTCTCCACCCTGCGCTGCCTTCCAGGGAGGGAAGCTGCCTCCCTTCGCAGGGTGCAGCCCGTGTTAGGAACAGCCAAGACGCTGACAGGGCGGGGTAGGAGGTCACCCAGCAGCAGGGTGCTGCAGATGGGCAGGGCAGGAGCAGGAGCTGGGAGGAGAGTCCTGTGGGCACCTGGGGGAGGCCCCCTCTGGGCAGGATGGCGGCCTCCAGTCCCGCGGTGCCCCGTGCGTTTTGGCACCAAGTACAGGAAGCCTCTGCCCGACATTGTTGTGTGCACCACGCCACCCGGTAAATAAATCCGCCGCCTCCATGGTTCCCAGCCCGTCCTCACTGTCTGGTCGCTGCCCCACCTCACACCAGAAACCCTTTGTCCTCGGGTTCCCCCAGCCAACACCCAGGGCCACCGAGGGAGGGCTTACACCCCCAGATGGTCTCGCTCGCGTCTGAGCCCATGTCCACACGGGAACATCCGTAAATGCCATTTTATCGATTAGATAGGGACCAAGATCTTCCTGCAAAAATTACGCTATTTTTCTTTAGAGAAAATTGGCAATTTGCCTTAAAAATTTTTATTGAAGTAATTCCATTCTATTTGAATAATGTTGGGAGATAAAATCCCTCCATTATGCCTTTTTAAATGAATTATAATTCAGGAAAATCTCAATAATAGAAGATGACATAAAAGGCAGGCGCCTAATTCTTATCTTGTTTTCCGCGCCCGTCTCTCGCTGGTTGGATGTAATTGGCATCTCTTCAAAGAGGAAGTGGGGGATTGTGCCGTCCTTGAGTCGAGCGGCCCTCCCAGAGGAGGTGGGGTCCTTTCCCCAGGGGGCGCCATTGTGGCTGTCAGGGAGGGCGAGATCGGCCCAGCTTCTCCCTCCGTCTCTGGGGCAGGCTGCACACGAGACATTCCATCAGAGCAGTGGTCTGCAGACCTGGGTGTGCCCGGAAACCCCCTGGGAGCTCGGGAAATGCACCTGCGGGACAGGCTGGGCGAGGCCCGAGACCCTGCATTTCTGCCTGGTCCGCGGCATGCAGAGGAGCCAGGGTCCGAGCCCCTCGTTCGTGGCGTGGGTGCCGCCCGACGCCGCGCCTCCGTGGCTGCTGATGGGAGTGTTGTGTTGTGTTTTGTCTCTAAGCTACGACACGGAGGGCCGAGGGCACATCACCTACCAGGAGTTCTTACAGAAACTGGGCATCGCCTATTCCCCGGGCGTCCACCGGCCCTACACGGAGGACTATTTCAACTTCATGGGCCATTTCACCAAGCCCCAGCAGGTGCAAGAGGAGATAAGAGTACTGCAGCAGCACCGAGACACGGCCGAGAAGCCCAGCGCAGCCAGGTGAGTGTGGCCGTCTCGGGCCACCGCCGGCTGCACCTGCTCCTCCCCAGGCAGCCTGTGACAACGCTGCCTCGGGACGCCGCGCCCCAGTGCCGGCGCAGACCCGCTCCCTGCTGTAGCGTCCAGGGGTTGGTCGAGTGTCAGAGAGCCTCGGAGTGGTGAAAACCCTGCCCCTCCTCGCCCAGGTGCGTCTCCCAGCCCCGCCCAGGATTTGTAGGCGACCCTTAAAAATGCTCGCCAGCCCTGGGCGGCCTCACCGGCTCCCTCCCTTGGCCCGGCCAAAATACAAGCCCCCTGGAGACGTCTGTCACTTGACACAAGCAGGCACCTCAGTGTGCCTGTTGAGTGAAGGAGCGGCTGGACGGCCTTTACGCCACCGCTCCGACCTTGGGTCTTCATCCCGACGAGACAGCTGGGAAGAGGCCGAGGGCGCGGCGCTGGCAGGCCGGGGTGTGTCATGTGCCTTTAATAACAGCACCGAGAGGGCCGGCGCCGCGGCTCAATAGGCTAATCCTCCGCCTAGCGGCGCCGGCACACCGGGTTCTAGTCCCGGTCGGGGCGCCGGATTCTGTCCCGGTTGCCCCTCTTCCAGGCCAGCCCTCTGCTGTGGCCAGGGAGTGCAGTGGAGGATGGCCCAGGTGCTTGGGCCCTGCACCCCATGGGAGACCAGGAAAAGCACCTGGCTCCTGGCTCCTGCCATCGGATCAGCGCGGTGCGCCGGCCGCAGCGCGCCGACCGCGGCGGCCATTGGAGGGTGAACCAACGGCAAAAGGAAGACCTTTCTCTCTGTCTCTCTCTCTCTCTCTCACTGTCCACTCTGCCTGTCAAAAAAAAAAAAAAAAAAAAAATAACAGCACCGAGAGGAACGCCTCCCGACCCCCGGTGAGCATTCCCACCCGGGAGCTCTCCGTGAGCTGTTGAGACCATCCTGGGGGAAGGGATGAATGCCTGTGACAAAGGGCCGGATGGCCGTGGGAGTCCGAGCAGTGTGTGTGCCACCGTTGTGGACAGTGTCAGATGCCCGTGTGTGCCTGTGAGGACCAGGAGACCGGGGCCAAAGGTGAGCGTTGGTTTGGACGATGCAGTGCCCGGATCGGTCTGCGAGGCCCACAGCCAGTCCCTCACGCCGCGCTGGCCCACTCACGGCGTGGGAAGAGCTTGTGCTGCTCACGAGGTGGCCAGAAAGCCGGGGGACGGGTGCTCTCGTCTCTGTCCTCGACGGCCAGCAGTCCACACTGCCCGCACTTGGCCCTGTCCCCGCCCCAGCTCATCTTGCCCTCGGCTCTGTCCCCGCCCATGGCTCTGAACGGCCCCGTGTGGCCCCGAGGTGGCGCGGTGGTTGGTGGGGCTGCAGAGGAGAGCAGTGGAACGCGCCCCTGGGTGCTGGGTGCTGGGTGCTGGGTGCTGAGCCTGCGTGCAGGGGCTCGAGCTGGCACCACATTGGTCTACGTCAGACCCGCGGTGAAACTGGGAGAAGTGGGATTTACCTGCAGCAGACAGGGCTGGCCTCGTACCCAGCGGTGCCTTCGCTTCTCCTGTCTCCTGCCCCGTGGGAGGGACCTGGCCTCCCTGCCGCCTGCCGTGCTCCCGCGGGCTTGGCCGGGAGAGCCCTGTGGAGGGCGTCGGGGACCCTGGTCCTCAGACGCCCGGTGCTGCCGCTCTGCTGCATCAGGCCTGTCGGCGGAGCCGTGGGGTCAGCGTTTCGGCACGTTTCCGTCTCTCGCTCAGAGGAGTGGGAGAGAGGCAGCCCGTCCACCAAAGTGACCGGAACGTTCTGTTTGCCTCTGGAATCAAAGGAGATTAATGTCGTTTGGGGTGTCCTAAGTGCGTGGGAAAGATTAAGAAAGCTCCTGTGTTAAACTTCGGTTGTCTGCGTGCCTCGCCGTCGTGTTTGTAACCCAAGGCAGCGTGGAGGATTGGGCGTCACAGCAGGGGTGAAGGAGCCAGGAGGTGCGGGCTGGAGCGGCCACCCCATGGGCCCCGCAGAGCCCTGGGGCTCCCTGCTAGAGCCAGGCCTGGGCAGGCAGCGTGCGTGAGGGCAGGGGGCCATGCAGGTGCAGACCAGGAACTGGACACGGCCCGGGGCCGCCCCCGCTCCCGCCCCCTCACTTGCTGTCCACGCAGATCCTCGGAACAAGAAATAACCGCCGCCCGGAAGCCGGCCCGCGCCTCTCCCAGAGCTGCCGCAGAGCATTCGCGCCTTCGCTGGCCCTGCCATGTGGGAGGCGGGGGACAGCCGTGACGCCACGCGGCGGTCAGGAACACGGGGCTGGTCTGGCAGACACCGGCAGGGGAGCAGGGCCTCGCTGCAAGCACTCACGCGGTTCCTGTGGCTCGTGCGTGCCGAGTGCCCCGGGCTCGTCGGAGCCGCTCCTGGTGGGAGACTGGCAGGAGCAGGGCTGGCCCCTCCAGAGCGGCCGAGCGCCCCCACCCCACGCCCCGGGTCTCCGGCTTCGCTGTTGCGGTGGCGAGTCGTCCCCAGGACGGCTCCACGGTAACCACCGCCACAGAGGCCTTCGTTTGGGAGGTGGAAGCGCCTTGTCTTCCCCGAGGAGCCCCCGCGCAGGCCCTGCACACGCGCATTGCTTGGTTTGCGTGGAGGAGGGACCGAGCAGGGGTCAGTGCAAGACGGCTCATTGTAGAGTCACAGAAAGGGAAACGGGAGAGGTAGAGTCAGACAGAGAGAGGGAGACAGAGAGGTCTTCCGCTGGTTCACTCTCCAAATGGCCGCAGTGGCTGGGGCTGGGCCAGACTGGAGCCAGGGTTCAGGAGCTTCCTCCAGGTCTCCCACGTGGGTGCGGGGGCCCAAGCATTTGAGTCATCTTCTACTGCTCTCCCAGGAGCATTAGCAGAGAGCCGGATCGGAAGAGCAGAAGCAGGGACTTGAACCGGCGCCCACGTGGGATGCCGGCACGGCGGGCGGAGGCTTAACCTACCACCATAGCACCGGCCCCAAGACAGATGGCTCTTGCCCTTTAACGATTTGTATTTAATTTTTAAGTCAGTAAGAATTTGCAGGAAGTGAACAACTGGGTCACGGAGACTTTGGGTGCGTTCTGTAAGAAAGTCAACCTGGGAGCAGGAACCACCGGCCCGACGCTATCCTGACTGGCCACTGTGTCCAGCCCTGCCCTGTCCCGTGGCCACCAGATGGGGATGCCCACCCCGGCAGTGGAGAAGCCGGACGTGACAGCGTGCTCGAGGCGGCTGACGGAGGAGGCACACCAGTGGCGGCCGTGTTCCTTAATGATCCCAGTGCCGGATACACAGACACAGAGTCCCGGGATACGCCCCCCAACACCGGCTGGATCTCGGCCGCCCCCGCCCCACTCGCCACCTCCCTCCACTCCTGCCTTAGCGCCTTGGTGCTGGCTGCTCCCGGGGCCCCCAGGGACACTCTTCCCACTGCTGTGGGCTGTGCAGACCTATCGCTGTCCCAGGGGAGGCCCACGCGTACCTGCCACTTGGGGTGTGTGTGTGCTCGGGCCCCTGCCTGGCTCTGACCCCTTCTGTTTATCGCTGGTTCCACGCCCGCTAGAACATGGACTCTCCCAGGGGTACCTGTCTGGTTCACCAGGTGTGCCCCCCGCCCAGGGCCCCGAGAGCAGCACCCGGCCTGTGGCGGGTACTCAGGAATCTCTGGGAGTGCACATGCGGTCGCCGCTCTGTGACGCGGCTGCGTGCCTGCCTGGGTCGCGTCTTTAAAGCGCCAATTCTAGTAGAAAGGCAGGGCTGTCACTTCTCTACCGTGGTGCTGGTGACCACGATGAACAGATGTGAGAGAAACGTGTGGTTGGCTTCTCTGGGATACGCTTTCACGTAAATGCTAGCCCAAGGCCGGAAGGCGTCTCCAAGGTTTGTTCTCGTCTAAGCCACCAAATCCTGGCGATAGGGTGACCACGCGGCCCCGCTGGTTAGCGTTTCTCTGCCTTCCTCACGTGGGGTGTGTCTGCAACGGTTCCTCCCAGGGATAAGCTGCTGGCTCACTGCGACGACATCAGCAGAGTGCTCGCCAAGGAGGACGAGTCCAGGAGCGGCTCCGTGCCCGTGAGCAGGATGCAGAAGCTGCTGGGGGAGTGCGGCTGTCCCCTCCGGGAAGAGGAGCTGGCCGCTCTCCTGAGCAGGTTGGTTCTGACCAGGTTGAACACGCGTGTGCTTCCGAAAGCCCATCGGCAATGGGATGAGCAGACGCGTTTGGGGTGGGGGTACCTGCCCTCGTGGCGGACACACCTGCGTCCCACCCAGGAGGGCCCGGGTTTGATTCCCGGCGCCAGCTCCTGCCCTCAGCGTCTGAGTGCCCGTGCCGGGAGGCAGTGGGGTGGTCCAGTAGGCGAGTGTCTGCTGCCGGCTGGGGGGCCTGCGGCCACTGGCCTGGCCCAAGCCCGGCCATTGCAGGCCTTAGGGGAGTGAACCAGCAGGTGGACATGTGTCCTCCCTCCCTCCCACCTCTCAGATGTTTTTTTGGAAAAAAAAGCCTTATTTTGGTATAAAAATTTTTGAAACCCAATGTCTAGTTTTTTTCATAATATACACCTTCCTTGAACGTTTTTGAAGACTGACCCCCCCCCCCCCCCCCCGTGTCTCTCACAGAACTGAAAATCCGATTACCGAGCTGCCTTGGGTTCTCCCGGGTCAGTCTCAGCCAGCCAGCTGGCGGGAGGTGGCCCCCACGAGTCCCCGTTGGCTGGGCTGCACTGCGATGGGTTGATCAAAGAGAAAGCAGTTTGACAAATGCCCACGTTTGCCCAATGTGTCTCAGCATAATCGACATCTCCAGGTTTATTTGTTTTATTTGGAAGGCAGCATTACAGAGAGAGAGGGAGAGACAGAGGGAAAGGTCTTCTACCCACTGGTTCATCCCCAAATGGCCACGATGGCCCGAGCTGGGTTAGGCCAGAGCTAGGAACCAAGAACCTCCTCTGGTCTCCCACATGGGTGCAGGGGCACAAGGACCTGGGTCGACTCACGCTGCTTTCCCAGGCGCGTTAGCAGGAAGCTGGATGAGAAGCGGAGCAGCCGGGACCTGAGCCGGCACCCATAGCCGATGCTGGTGCTGCAGGCAGCGGCTTAACCCGCTGTGCCCCAGCGCCGGCCCCTAGGGGGAGCTTGTGAGTTCTTTGTTAGTGAGGTGAGCAGTTTGGAAGCGTGGGGGACCAGGAAGTGGGAGTGCCAGGAGGAGAAGGGGCTCAGAGCACCTGCAAGCCCCAAGGGCGCGAGGAGGAGGAGGGGTTCCACGGGGTCAGAGTAGAGCGCAGGGGCGTGAGCTGGCAGGCTGCAGGGCAGGGCGGGCTGGGACCAGAAGCGCAGCTTCACCCCTACCCCCCACTTTTTTAAGCATTTATTTATTTATTTATTTATTTGAAAGCGTTACAGGAGAAAGGAAGAGGCAGAGAGAATCTGCTGTCCGCTGATTCACCCCCCAAATGCCCACAGTGACTACGCCTGCGCCAGGCTGCGTGGACGCAGGGGTTTAAGGACTGTCTTCCACCGCTTCCCCGGGCACACTGGCAGGGGGCAGGATAGGACGTGGAGCGGCTGGGACTCGATACACTGTGCCACAGCAGCAGCCCACGGTCGTCGTCTTTGCCGTTAGTTTTCTCTCTCACGTCACTCACGCATCTGGAGGGCTCGGGTGGCTCTGCAGAGCTTCAAACAGCAGCCCCGCACTCGCCTCCTCCGAGGCTGCCGGCCCCTGCTCCTCGGGGCCCCGCTTCCAAGGGACGGACGTGCGTTGCCGAGTCTTGGTTTCTCGCCTGTAGGCAGCGTCCGTCGAGCTGTGGATTTAACTCCCTTCCAGCCATCCCTGGCAGCAGCCACTCGCGCCCATCAGCCTCCAGCACCCCGTGGGAGAACCCGAGAACACCGCAGTGTGAGCTCGCCGCCCTGCTGCGTCCCACTCTGCCCAGATCTGCACCCAGGCTCCGAGCGCGCTGGCCCCAGCCCTTGTCCTTGTCACACGGCGCCTCTGGCCTGAAGTCGCCTTTTCTCTGAAATGGGTGAAACCCGCACCCCGCCCCGTGACGCCTCTCTCCAAGCTGTGGACGCCCGAGCCAGAGCCCAGGGCCTCGCCTTCTCGCACCCCGATTCTCACCTGAACTCAGTTGCCGGGTTCCCCTCCGCGGTTCTTTCTGAGGCTCTGGCTGTCCCCGGGTGCCCAGCGCCTGGCCGGCTGTGTTTTCAAATCTCCCCGCATCAATCTGCGCTCTCACTCCTCCTCCTGTCCTCGACCGCAGCCCAGCCCTTTCTGCGAGGGTTTTCTTCCTGCTGTCTGCGTTTCTGACGACCAATGCTGCATCCTGTTCTTATTATTTAATTTCGTTTTGTTCTTTAAACAGTTCCTCACGTTCGATGCTTGCCTCACTAAAAAGCAGGTTAGAAATTCTGCACAGCGAGGTGGAACTTTGGTCTAAACTCTGGGGTAATCTGTTAAGTGGTATCTTTGGGGGACTCCCCAGTATCAGTATCTTAAAAAAAAAAAAAAGAAAAGAAAAAAAACCTTTTCTTCGGGGCTGGTCAGGTTACCAGAGGTTAGAGTTACAAGCTGACACACAGGATCCCAGTGAAGTTCAAACTTTGGATAAACAACGATTTTTATTATAAGTATTTTTATTATACTTCCATTTTTTAAAGTGTTGCTTATCTGAAATTCTGGTCTGACTGTGTACCCTGGAGGACTTTGATGTGCGTTTACTGATCCTGGCGGCCCGGGCAGAGAAGCCCCTGGTCTCGGGACGCTGCCCTCGCGGCGGATGGCGCGCTCCGGCTGGCGCTGCGGGCCGGGCAGGTCGCAGCTGTCTCTCCAGGTTCCTGAGTGACCCCTGCCCTGGGGGGAGTTCTCTGACGGCCGCTGACGTCCCGCTGGTGCAGCGTTCTCCCTGCTGCAAGTCCGGGGGTGGCGCTTCCGGGTGCCGTGCTCGCCGCAGCCCCCAGCTCCCCCTCAGCCCTCCCCTGGCCCGTCTTCTGCAGCCGCACTTTGGTCTTTGCTTTGGAGAAGGCGCTTGGTCCTTTGTGGAGAGCAGCTGCTGCCCGCGCCTTGGGCGCCGTGACAGCTGCCGTGACAGCTTCCCTTGTGAGGGACAGGTGTTAATTTCTCAGGGCTCCAGGCCTTCCTAGTGGGATAGCAAGGCGCGAGCAGCCTCGGGACGGCCACGTCCCCTCCACAGACGTCCACCTTCCCACGGGTACCTCACAGGGCACCAAGCCCACCCAGTCACCCCCTCCCCGGCCCCCCTTCCTACCTGGCGCCATCTCGGTGGGGTTGGGATTCTGACCTACGGCGTGGGCGGCCCCAGCCATGTGTGACGATCGTGTCTCAGGCATTCCGTGATTGCCTTGGGAGCTGGTTTGTTCACACTGTCTCTCTCGCATTGTTGGCCCGTGTTCCACCCTGCCAAGTGAAGATAAACCTGTATTTAGGTGACAGACTTGCCTGGAAGAGACGCTTGTCACAGGCCGGCTTCGCGCAGCAGGGAGAGCGCTCTGTGAGCTCCTAGGGAGCCGTGGATGAGGCCAGCGGGGACGGGGACGGGCTCCGGGGAGCGAGGCGAGCGCGGCGTGCGGCTGGACAGGGAAACAGTGGCTGTCCCCGTGGCCAGTGTCGTGCGGGGCCGTCAGGAGGGGCAGCTGCACGCTGGGCCGGCCGGGGGCGGGAGAGCAGCCGGAGAGCTCTGCTGCGGTGGGCAGGTGCTTCCCGCAGACTGGTCAGGGCACGCGGCGGGTCAGCCAGCGGCTGGTGAGAACTGGGCACGGGCGCTGGGAGCGCCTCGCCGCCCTGCCCTGGGAGAGCTTGTGCAAAAGTGACCCGTGCTGGTCGAGGGGAGCAGTGTGCGCCTTCAGGTGTCCCCACTGCCGCTCCCTGTTCCCCTGGCGCCCCCTCCCCTTCCCGCTCCAGGTCCGTGGCCGAGAGCACCCTGGGCGAGCGGCCGCTCCCCTGGGCTGGGTCTCCTGCCGCCTCCGGGCCACGGCTTTCTGTCTCTTGCTTTGCTTTCTTCTCTTGCTGGAGTTCTTCCTGAAGTCATTCCCCTGGAGGAGCCGGGCAGGGGGTGGGCGTCCGAGTCCCTGTCAGAAGAGAGGGACCGGGGGCAGGGGCCGTGCCTGTGAGGGCCGCTCCCCTCTTCCCGCCACGAGAATCCCTAAGCAGGGCGAGCGGTGGCAGGGGAATAATCGGCCGGTGATCACGAGGGTCCTCATCAAGCCGTGGGCGAGGCGCAACTCTGCCACAGGCAGCAACAAAAGGACCGCGGCTCTGCCTTCCCCCTTCAGTGGGGGCGATCCACTTTCCCTGCGCTGAAACCTTAATAAGGATCCATCGCGGGGCTCCTTGTCTCTCCTCAAAGGCATCTTGATGATAAGCATCTCCATTATTTGTAATTACATGTAGATTCTTCCCCGGATCCGAAATAGACTTCTCTACCGCCGAGGAGATTAGCATATGCACCGGGTTCTGTTACTGCATGTGACTGCCGTGCCGGCAGCCTGGGTTGCACTGGACCACGCCGACGGTCTCTTCCCTCCGTGTCCCCGCGTGGGAGCCCACGCAGCCGCTCGGCCACTGTGGGCTGGCGAAGCTCAGGTCCTGGCTCCTCGTCGTGAGACGTGGACAGCCGAGCCCTGAAACCACCCGCCGCAGCCCGCCGGCCTTCCGGGCTGTTCCATGCTGGTGCTTGGCGCCGTAGCGTGGGGAAGCAGTCGAGAGTGGGAGGATCGGCAGCCCCAGGGCATTCGAGTTGCAGAAACGGGAGCTGTGGCTGCAGCTGACCCTGACCCAGCACTGCTCCACGTCTGGGATAAGTATGCAGCAGGTGCCCCCGCGAGTGTCTGGGCTCTTCTCACTGCGCCCTCGTGGCTGGAGAGGCAGAGTTGAGGGCGCGGGGGCCTGTGCTTCCCCTCGGATGTCCTTGTTGAGATGTACACGCAGGGAGTTTCACTGCAGAAGAGACAAGCCGGGTGGGGTTTGCAAACGTGCCCTCGGAGCGCTGTCGGCCCGACAGCTTCGTCCCGGCCCTTCGCGAATGAAAGTCTCGCGAGTCTTTTACTCGGTTCCCCTTCTCGTTTTCACCTGCACGTCTCCTCCCGTCGACTCCCACTGCCTTCCCTGGGCCCAGCCCTGGCTGGCTGAGGCCTTGGATGGCGGGCTCCTCGCCACCTGCCCCGCGCACCAGACCAAGCTCTCTTCCTGCCACACCGTGCCGGCTTGGGGTCCTGCTCTGCAGACGCGGCCCCTGCACAGGCTCTATCCCTGGGCCCAGAAACAGGGCCAGACTCCTTGGCCAGGCCTCCCCTCCCTGTTGGCTGTGAGCCCCGTTGTCCAGCTGTCCAGCCTGTGGGCGGGGTGGCCTGTGGCCCTGCCAGCCGACAGTGACCCTCGCTGCCACCTCTCGGAACCTGGCCTTGACCTCGGGCTCTGTGGTACTCACGTGGACACCTGATGTGGGAGCTCCTTGGTGCAGATACAGCAGCAGGTGGGACGCAGTTCCTTGAAGTCACTCATTAGCCTGTTCTGCTCTGTGCTCAGCAACCGTCTGTTGAATGAACAAGTCGGGTTTTTGGTTTGTTTTGTTGTAAGTTAGTGTTGTAGGAGCTGGCACTGTAGTAGAGCAGGTTAGCTCACTGCCTGCAACGCTGGCCTCACGTGTGAGCACCGGCTCTTGTCCCAGCCGCGCCACTGCAGCTCATCGCCTGGGAAAGCACTGGAAGACGCCCAAGAATGTGGGCCCCTGCACCCACGTAGGAGTCCTGGCTGGAGTTCCAGACTCCTGGCTTTGGCCTGGCCCAGCCTTGGCCGTTGCAGCCGTTTGGGGAGTGAACCAGCAGATGCAAGATCTCTCCCTCCCTCTCCCTCTGATTCTGACTTTCAAGTAAATAAATAATCAAAAAAAAATTAATGCTGGGGCAGACACTTGGCCTGACAGTCGCGATGCCTGCATGCCACATCGGAGGACTGGGTTCATACCCCCAGCTCCTGACTCCGGCAGGGTGTATCTGGTTGGGTTCCCCCCGGGTGGACACCTGGCTGGAGCTCCAGGCTCCTGGCTTCAGCCTGGCCCAGTCCCAGCCGCCGTGAGCGTTTGGCGAGTGAACCCCTGGATGGGAGCACTCGCTTTCGCTCTGTCTCTGCCTTTCCAATGAATTAAGTAAGAAACTCTTTCCTTTCTTCCGGGGCAAGCTGGGGAGTGAGCCTACACGACAATTCCATCAACCTGGCCGACTTCCTGAGAGCTCTGGAGAGCGGCCGTCCAGGGCCGGAGCCGCCGGACAAAGAGGAGGACGGCGGCGTGGTGGTGGACTTCTCCACGGTGACCCTCCCAGAGGTCGTGAGGAGCGTCCAGCAAGTGGTGGGCTCCTGCCAGCCGGCCCTGTCCCAGGTAAAGCAGGTGCCCAGGGCGTCTGCCCACTCATCGCCCGCCGGTCCTCCTTGGGGCTCCAGGCAGTGCACAGTGAACCACGTGTGTGTGGAGTGACAGAGGCGTGTGCCATGTGTGCATGGTGCTGTGTATGTAGCCACACTGTGAACCATGTGTGTGCAGTGCTATGTGTGGAGTGACAGTCATGAACCATGTGTGTGCAGTGCTGTGTGTGGAGTGACAGAGTCATGAACCACATGTGTGCAGTGCTGTGTGTGGAGCCACGCCGTGAACCACGTGTGTGCAGTGCTGTGTGTGGAGCCACGCCGTGAACCACGTGTGTGCAGTGCTGTGTGTGGAGTGACAGAGTCATGAACCACGTGTGTGCAGTGCTGTGTGTGGAGTGACAGAGTCATGAACCACGTGTGTGCAGTGCTGTGTGTGGAGTGACAGAGTCATGAACCACGTGTGTGCAGTGCTGTGTGTGGAGTGACAGAGTCATGAACCACGTGTGTGCAGTGCTGTGTGTGGAGTGACAGAGTCATGAACCACGTGTGTTCAGTGCTGTGTGTGGAGTGACAGAGTCATGAACCACGTGTGTGCAGTGCTGTGTGTGGAGCCACGCCGTGAACCACATGTGTGCAGTGCTGTGTGTGTGTGGAGTGACACTGAACCACATGTGTGCAATGCTGTGTGTGTGTGTAGCCATGCTGTGAACCACATATGTGCAGTGCTCTGTGTGTGTGTAGCCATGCTGTGAACCACGTGTGTGCTGTGTGTGTGTGTGTAGCCATGCCGTGAACCATGTGTGTGCTGTGTGTGTGTGTGTGTGTAGCCATGCTGTGAACCACGTGTGTGCAGTGCTGTGTGTGTGTGGAGGGACGTGTACCACATGTGTGTGGCGCTGTGTGGAGCCCCACTGCAGACCACTGCGTGGTCCTTGGAGACAGCTTGGGAACCACGTCCCCTGCAGGGCTGGGGCAGCAGTGGGAGGCGCTGGCGCTGTGCACAGGGGGCAGAGCTCTACGCGTCCACAGCTCCGAGGAGGCTGGGCAGCGCGCCCGGGCAGCACAGTGGAGACGGGCTGGGATCTGCTCAGAAACCCAGGCCCTGCCCTCGAGAGCCCACTCAGGGGTGTGCTCTGGGTCCAGTGTTGCCCTGAGACGGGGCCTCCACAGCTTTGCAGGAACTTGGGGGAACACCCCTGCTGAGATCCGGGAGCCTTTGCAGGGCAGGGGAGGGGAGGGAAGTGAATGTGCCCAGGACCACAGGGGCCCTGTGGGGCAGAGCGGGGGGGGCGGGGCAGGAAGGCAGGGCGTGTACATGTCCTGGTCCTGGGGCAGAGCAGGGGGCAGGGCAGGAAGGGGGGGCATGTACGTGTCCTGGTCCTGGGGCAGAGCAGGGGGCAGGGGGCAGGAAGGCGGGCAGTGGATGTGTCCTGGTCCTGGGGCAGAGCAGGGGGCAGGGGGCAGGAAGGCGGGCAGTGGATGTGTCCTGGTCCTGGGGCAGAGCGGGGGGCAGGAGGGCAGGAAGGCGGGCAGTGGATGTGTCCTGGTCCTGGGGCAGAGCAGGGCGGGGGGGGCAGGAAGGCGGGGCATGGATGTGTCCTGGTCCTGGGGCAGAGCGGGGCGGGGGGGGCAGGAAGGCGGGGCATGGATGTGTCCTGGTCCTGGGGCAGAGCGGGGGGCAGGGGGCAGGAAGGCGGGCAGTGGATGTGTCCTGGTCCTGGGGCAGAGCGGGGGGCAGGGGGGCAGGAAGGCGGGGCGTGGATGTGTCCTGGTCCTGGCAGGGGGCAGGGGGGCAGGAAGGCGGGGCATGTACGTGTCCTGGTCCTGGGGCAGAGCGGGGGGCAGGGGGGCAGGAAGGCGGGCAGTGGATGTGTCCTGGTCCTGGCAGGGGGCAGGGGGGCAGGAAGGCGGGGCATGTACGTGTCCTGGTCCTGGGGCAGAGCGGGGCGGGGGGGCAGGAAGGCGGGGCATGTACGTGTCCTAGTCCTGGGGCAGAGCGGGGCGGGGGGGGGCAGGAAGGCGGGGTGTGGATGTGTCCCAGTCCTCCTGCAGACCCCGCTGCAGGTCTCTGTGGAGATGCGCTGTTTGCTCTCCACAGCTGGGTCTCAGGCTGGGGACCCCTCGACGCTGACACCCTTCACAGTGGCCCTGGGAAAGGCAGGGGCCACGAGAATAGCTCCCTCTCCGCTCCTGGCAAGTGCCCCGATCACCCAGGCCCCTGCTTGCTCAGCGCAGGAGCTGGGGCCCCGGAGTCCCCGTGGCAGGGAGGCACATGGGCACAGCACAGCCAGCTCGTGCACCTTCTGGGACGGCCGTGGCCGTGGCCTTGTCCTGGAGAGCAGAACTTCCCAGCACCCAGGAGGTTTCCTGAGTCTGACGCCAGTGCCCTAGAAACCACGGACAGTGAAGCGCCAGCAGGCCTCGCGCCCGACAGATGCCGGCGGCTCAGGGAGCCCACGGCAAGCTGGCGAGCCCGGCCCTGTCTCGGGACGCTTCGCCTCGCCCAGCCGCCCGCTCCGAGTGCTGCAGTCGCCGTGCGCGGCTGGATCTCGGCGTTCTCCGGCTGTCTGAGTCTGCGCACCATTCAGGTTTCTCAGAAGTGCTGTGGCAGCAGCCAAGTAAGGCCACCCATGGCCGCCATGTCCCCTCCTCACCATGCCGCGCCGCAGGGCACCCATCAGGGCACCCATCAGGACGCTTCTCCCACCAAGGCCCATGGAGACCTCAGGGCAACGCTGGCTCTCGCTTCCAAGAAACGCGCCCTAGGCCCTGAGGTTCTGAGCAGGAAATGGTCTCTGGCCCCAAGGAGGAGCGGGGGGGGGGGGGGGCGTCTGAGCCGGTGCACCTGCAGGTCATCCAGACGTCACGAGCACCTTCTGAACCCACCCGACGGCACCTCGCGCTTTGTCGACTGTTACGGGGGGGCGCCGGTCCTTCCTGTCCACCCCCGCCTGGCCGGGTGTGCACGCGGGCTCGGGAAAGCAGGTCCTGGGGCTGGAGGGAGCCGGGCCTGGGCTCGGGGTGCCCCTCCCCTCCGCCCGCCCGCACCACCTGCCTCCTCGTGCCCTCACAGCACACGCTCCTACGTGCTCCTCTCCATCTTTGTCCTGAGCGTGTGTGCCCACCCCCGACGCGCCAGCACTTGGAGAGGCACGTCTCCCCAGAGACCGTCCAACTCACTCACCCCGGGGCCATTCGTCTTTCCTTGAAGAGATTAATGCCCAGAGAGGGGCCCGCCTGCGGCGCAGAGGACGAAGCCCCCGCCTAACCCCGCATGGGTGCAGATTTGGGTCCAGCTGCTCCACTCTGACCCAGCTCCCTGCTAATGGCTTGGTGCTTGGGCCCCTGCGCTCACATGGGAGACCCAGAAGAAATTCCTGTCTCCTGTCTTTGGCCTGGCCCAGCCCTGGCTGTTGTAGCCATCTGGAGAGTGAACCAGTGGGTGGAAGACTCTCTCTCTCTCTCTCTCTCTCTCTCTGAAGTCTGCCTTTCAGATAAATAAAATTAATCTTTAAAAAATCAAGCCAGGAACCTCAAGTGGGCCACGGAGCCTAGGCTCAAAGACTAGGGCTGGGGGACTCCACACCCCCATGGCTGCCCCATGTTACTACGAGCTGCGCAAGTCGGCTTCAAGGCTGATCTGTTCCCCCACGGCCGTCACCCTGGTGGGCCCTCGGGGTGGGCCTGCTCAGCCCTGAATGAAAATTAGCCACGAGGGAATTGGGTTTGGAGTCTGCAGACACATTAAATTCTTACTTAAAAAAAGATCTTAATCTAGCGCTTGATACAGATTTCCTAGTGCGATAAAAATGAACGATTCTGCTTCAACAGATGGAAAAAAATGTGCTTTCCTTTTATAGCATGGTTTGCACTTTTTCAGTTTGGCTACACTGCTGATTCCGCAGTGTGGACCCCGGCCCCCAGCACAGCCACGGGCGGCGGGGGCCTTCCTGCGGGGTGAGGCCAGCGGGGCATGGCTCAGAGTCAGGCCCAGACAGCAGCCTGTGCATCCAGCCTACGGGGCAGGGGGGGGGTTCCCGCGGCCCAGCACTCCCAATGCCAGCTGCCTGCCTGGAGACCCCTGTCCCTAAGTGACGTGATCCCCAGGAGCGGGAATGCGGCCGAGAGAGCCGGCGCGAGTCACTGCGTCAGGCAGAGTTGTGGGAGTGGGGGAGGGGCCCGCCAGGTTCTGGGGACCTGGGCCGGCACCAGGCCTCACGCTCCTTCCTCTCGCCCCCACGGGAGCCCCCGCCACGTGCACAGAGGCCACGGCGCCCTGGGCTAACCCTCCCGTGGCGGGCGCCTTCGTTTGGAGATGTGCGTGTTGGTGCGCAGGTCTCGCGCACGTCGGCCGGCGCTTGCCATCTCCGTCCCTCTCCTTGTCGTCCAGGCCTTTTCTGCACTGGACAAAGAGGACGCCGGGTTTGTGAAGGCGGCAGAGTTCGGGGACGTCCTGAGGGCTTTCTGTCACGGGCTCGTGGACAGCCAGTACCACCACCTGCTGAGGAAGCTGAGGCTCCACCTGGCGCCCTACGTCCACTGGAAGTACTTCCTGGAGAACTTCGGCTCCTTCCGGGAGGAGGTGAGGGCGCGAGCGTCCCCTGTGGCCTTGAAGCCAAAACGGGCCCTGGGGTGAAACCACGCCAGACGCCCTGGTGATCACCTCCTGTGATCGGCTCACTCCAGGGTGAATTCTGTGTGGGGGTGGGGGAGCTAGGACGTGGGCACGTGCGCTTGACCTCGTTGAAAAAGTTTTGTGTGTGTTTTTTTTTAAAAGATTTATTCATTTATTTGAGTTACAGAGAGGTGGGGGAGGGTGTGTGTGTGAGAGAGAGAGAGAGGGGTCTTCCATCCAATAGTCCGCTCCCCAGATGGCTGCAACAGCCGGTGCTGCGCCTATCTGAAGCCAGAAGCCAGGTGCTTCTTCCTGGTCTCCCACACGGGTGCAGGGGCCCATGCTTTCCCAGGCCTTAGCAGGGAGCTGGATCAGAAGTGGAGCAGCCAGGACTCAAACCAGTGCCCCTGTGGGATGCCGGCACCGCAGGCAGCGGCTTCACCAGCTACACCACAGCACCAGCCTGTTTTGTTTTCTTTTCAAAGATACGTGCGAGCCTGTTCCCGTCTGCTTGTGTGGCGGGCTAAGCGGTGTTAGGTCCCAGAAGAGGATCTGGTACCCAGAGATGTGAGGCCCGCTGGCGGCAAGCCCTGGACTGAGGATGGGCAGAGCCTGGGGTCGAGGTTCATGTGGACACGGGGTTCCAACAGAAGCCAGCCTTCCCCAGGGAAGGCAGGGGGGCTTCCTGGAGGAGGGTGGCCGCTGACCCTGGGGCTGTGTCACCTCCCAGCACGGGCTTAGGCTGTTTCTCATCTCCGAACACAGACGGTGCAGGGTCGGTAGCAGCAGTTGCAGTCTCCTCGCGACAGTCACTGAGGTCTCCGGGCACCGCTCTGCACAGGGCGCTGTGCTCAGTGGGAGCGCGTGCAGGTGCCGCGGTCCCTGCCTTCTCAGAAGGGGCCACGGCCTGGCTACGCGCCTGGCCACTGGGTGCTCGTGTGCTGCGTCCCCAGAAGTGCGCCAGGGCGGCGTGTGGCGGGGGCTTCTGTGAGGTTTGAGGACGGCGGTCAGGGCCCAGCGCTCGGCGAGGCCCCGGCCTGAGTCCTCGTTGCGGTTCACCCCGTGTAGTCCTCAGCTCCCCGAGGGACTCGTCCGCGTCCCCGTTTCCTGGGTGAGGGCCCCGAACAGAGGGTGGGGGCTTCGTGTGCAGCTCCTGACTCTGGGCCTCTGAAGCCTGCAGGTTTTTTTTTTTTTTTTTTGACAGGCAGAGTGGACAGTGAGAGAGAGAGACAGAGAGAAAGGTCTTCCTTTTGCCGTTGGTTCACCCTCCAATGGCCGCCGCGGTCGGCGCGCTGCGGCCGGCGCACCGCGCTGATCCGATGGCAGGAGCCAGGAGCCAGGTGCTTTTCCTGGTCTCCCATGGGGTGCAGGGCCCAAGCACCTGGGCCATCCTCCACTGCACTCCCTGGCCACAGCAGAGAGCTGGCCTGGAAGAGGGGCAACCGGGACAGAATCCGGCGCCCCGACCGGGACTAGAACCCGGTGTGCCGGCGCCGCTAGGCGGAGGATTAGCCTAGTGAGCCGCGGCGCCGGCTGAAGCCTGCAGGTTTTGATTGCTTCCGGCCGTTGGGTTTAATGTTGCTAACGATGTATCCGATCGTGTTGCTTGGTGTGAAACTTTACGGACACTATCTTCCGCACTCTTTTTTTTTTTTCTTGCTTGATGCTGGCTCTAAGGTCTGTCCATGTCACCACCCTGTCTCCGGCGCGTTCGCAGGAGCTGCTGTGAGGTCGTCTGTTGAGGGAAGGCGTTCTGTGGGGTGGACACGCCCAGCATGGCCAGCAGCCTCCGTCTCCGTCGATGGCGTGGAGGTGGTTCTCGGTGTCCTCCCGCGCTGTGGCCTGTGCGCTCTCAGGAGCTGCTGGGTGCTGGGGGGACAGGCCCATGCTCAGCCCCGTACGGCCAGCGTTCTCCCAGGTGGTGGTACCAGGGTGCACTCCCAGCCACGGTGCCCAAGGGCTCCTGACACCCCTCCCCCAGTGCTATGCCCTGAGGTCCGCGGTTGTCCTGACCTCCACCGAGCTGACCGTTAGGATTGTGTGCTACCGGCCGTCCAGGTTCCATGTCTGTGCGTTGCCTGGGCAGTCCCAGGCCTCTGTCGGCTGCTGAGTTACAGACGCGGCCTCCCTGGGGCTGACTTGTCCCTCCCCTTGGTTGTGTGACCTCACTATTGTAAATAACGATACTTTTTGTGATTTCAAACAAAAACATATTCACTGCAGATGGAGTTAAAAAATAAGAAAGAGAAGACAGTAATCTTAAAGCCCAAAATAAGAGTACGATGGGGAGAAAAACCTCAGACACCATCAGTGAGCACCTGCGTGCTCTGGGCTTTACAAGTCGGCGTGGCCCGAGCCAACGTGTGCAGAAGTCCCTGCCGCCTGACGCAGCGTCTGGGACACAGCGGTGCTCGCGACACGAAGGGAGGGCTGACGTCCGCACGTCTGTGGGTTCACACCGGTACCCCGTGCGGACGGCCGGGAGCGAGCGGCGGTGCTGTTGAGCGGTGTTCTGGACCCCTGCAGGCCCCTCTCCTACCAGTTTTCATTGTGGTCTGTGCCCAGCAGAGGGGCAGTGGGCTGGGGTGGCAGGAGCCAGAGAGAGAGGTGAGGGGTGTGCCCGTTCAGCCCCACCCTGCTCCCCAGCACCGCCGCCGTGGTGCTTCTGTGGCCACAGCTTCGGCCACGTGCCTTCCTGGCCCGCGCCGCGTGCTGGCCCTGCTGTCCCCGGCGCTGGGGAGGTGGCGGTGAGGATCGGCTCCGCGACTCCGGCTCTACCGCCCGTCTCCTCTGCCTCTTCCCTGACTGACAGGCCTGGCACCCTGCAGAGCGCCCCTCCTCTGACACGTGGGTTTCATTCATGTGGATTGCATGGATGCCTTCACTCTGCCCATGCACACGCGTGTCCTGTGGGCCCACGTGAACCAGGCACCCCGCAGGTGCCTCCCTGCGGGGCAGACAGGAAGTAGGAACCGGATCATGGGTCCAGCTCCAGGCCTAGCTCCTGCTGTCTCCCTCAGCACCTGGCTCAGCCTCCCGTGAGAAGGTTGAGGGTGGATTGCACGGTGAGTGGGGAACGCACGTGAGCTTGGAGCAGCCATGGGGGGCGTGAAGGAGGCTTGACCCAGTTCCCGCAGCACCACGTGTGCCCACCTCACCCTGCTCTTCCAAGGGCAGCAGCCGAGGAGGACGCGGGCCCAGCTCCCAGGCCCGGGTGCAGGAGCACAGGTTGTACCAAGGAGCTGTGGCTGAAGGGACAGTGCGAGCATGGCCGTCAGCATTCCCGCTCACGTTGAACAACAGGGAACCGGAGGGCCTCTTTGGGGGCGGCGTGGCCGCAGGGACCGCCTGCCCGCGTCCCACCTCCTCCGCCGCGGAGTGTCTGACCTTGCTGATGGCAGGTGAACCAGGACCTGGCCTCGCTGTCTCGGGGGGCTGCGGGCGTGCAGAGGAGAGAGGGCCGCGTGGAGACTCTGTTCTCGTGTTAAAGGCTCATGTGTGTATGTATAAGGCAGAGTTACAGAGAGGGGAGGATTGCTGGCAGAGGAAAAGGGAGACAGAGAGGTCTTCCACTCACTGGTTCACTCGCCTGGGGCTGGGCCAGGCTGAAGCCAGGAACCTGGAGCTCTGTCTGGGTCTCCCACGTAGATGCAGGGGCCCAGGGACTTGGGCTGTGTTCCACTGTTCTCCCAGGTGCACTAGCAGGGAGCTGGACAGGAAGTGGAGCAGCCGGGACTTGAACCAGCGTCCAGATGGGACGTGCGTTGCACCACAGCGCCAGCCCCTCCTCATGAGGACTTGTACAGTTGACTCAGGTTGGGTTTTTAATAGAAAGAGAAAGAAGCAGCAAGCAGTCAGGATGTCCGTGCAGCACCCTTGAGCTCACCCCGTGTGACACTGGTCATCCTTTTCCTTGAGGAGGGGCACAGCTCATCAAAGAGAGATCACCAGGGCATTACTAAGGTGGTCACCGTGCCCCCGCTTGCGCCGGACACAATCCCTAGCCACAACCATGGTCTTGGGAAAAGGGAGAGCAGAGTTGTGGCTGAGACACCACAGAGCCTGCATGGCCTGAAAGGAGGCAGCGGGCAGAGGGGCACCCTTTCCAAGGTGACCCCACAGCCGTTGACCGCTCTTACGTCTTGCGTGGCCGTGCCCTGGACAAGTGGGGAGGGTGCCGCGTGCTCCCCCGTCCCTGCTGTGGGCCGGGCGCTGCGGCCCGACTCCTGCTTGCCCCTTCCAAGGCACAGGATCCGTCTCTGTGGGTGGGGCCCTGGTGCCTTCCCGAGCCTCAGGTGTGGTGGTTATTCGTGGGGTTGGAGAACCGGTCTCACGGGCACAGAGGCCGGTGGGCTGCTGGAAAGGTCAGAGTGGCTTTGACCTTCTCAGGGAGGAGCGAGGTATCTGTCCAAGGCGGATGGAATCCATGACACCGTGGTTCAAGCTGAGAAACACCTGTACAAGCTAAAAGGAGGAACAAGATTAAAACAGAAATGTTGCCAGCGCTTGCTGACCGAGCCAGACGGGCAGCGGAAGCACGGCTAACCGGGCGGAAGCAGCGTCCACCACCCTCTCCTGGGCGAATCTGCACTTCTGGAGAAAGACTTTGCATTCAGAGCGCTTTGTGCAAAATATAGAGTACCACCTTGTTTTTAGAAAATCGTTCCTGCTGAACGCTCCTTTTACATCTGAAAGTGCAATTCCAGTGTCTTCCCTGCATGTAAAAATAACATTCAGAGCAGAAGAATTTTTAGAAAACAGCAAAACCCATATAAAAACCTCGCTGCTATATTACCATGGAAATAATGGAATTTTTGTAAGGAAACGCAGCCTTATTGAATGCAGAGTAATTATTCTATCCCATTGTAGCAGGCAGAGAACCAGCGAGGCCTTCCCTTGCTTTGTGTGTGATACACACACGATCTATGAAGTCATTCAGTTCAGCGTTAAGTAACTTGGACAAGGTTTCTCTTCCCAGCGAATTTAAAAATGTGACCGTAAGGCGCAGCGCGTCTGCAGCCTCCCCGAGCGCCGTATCTGTCAGTTGCCGGCGCCGTTTCTGTTCCTTCCTTTCTCGCGGCTGTGATGGTGT